GAGTTCTCCCCTTTCCCATTCGATATCTACAATGTATACTTTAGTTGCCTTGATCCCCCAGTATTCTTAACTTTGCCTCTCAGTTCAGAAAGTTTGTCAGGCTCTTCTGTGGTTTCCCTTCTTGTATTGTGGCCTGAAAATTCTCTCCTGGCAGTAAGCTGAAGCTAGCAAAAGGCTTATTCTGTCTGTTTTTCAATTCTCAGGGATTATTGTCCTCCACTGCCTGACATTTAGCGATTTAATAACCATTTTTTTCACATTTTTGTCTTTTTTTTTGATTTTGGAAAAGAAATCTGGTTTTTGTTAATCTGCCTTGGTTGAATGAAAATTATAACTTTTATTGAGAGTTCACTGAAAGTTTGAATAAAACAAATAAAACATAGTATCTTTTAATGGCAACCATATGTACTTTCACTCTGTGTAAACCTACTGATGTTCTTGTAGCACCCAAACCTGAGTCTGCATAACAGCAGTTTCCATCTTTCCTGTGCCATAATAAGGTTTTCTTCCTTTGACCACACTGTCTCAGACTTTTTAAAGGAGGATATTTAAAAAAAAATCTGTGTAAGGTTAGAATCTAATTGAAGTTGTCTTTTTTTCTTCCCTGCCAAATAAAAGAATAGTCTGCTCCAAAGTTATATTCAAGCTTCTACCTCTTAGGAGCTTTCAAATTCAAATTGGCAGTTTCCCAATTAAAAACAAATAAAATCAAACCCTTAGTGCCTAATTTCAATCTGTGAACCCCATTATACCAGAGTATGTTATTATATATTGAATCAATTAGTACTCACTAGTGCTTGTTACATGTGTATATTAAAACACATACTCTCAGAAGGATGACCAGAGGCATATTCTAGAAATCTTAATTTAATCATAAACACAATCTTAATTACAAAAGTTGGAGGATATTAAACGTTAGTACCTGCTCCTCTTCAATATGGTTTTTCTTCTTTCTCCTCTGGATGTTTTGCTTATTCCATATTTTGTTTGATTTTCAAGTTCATAAACAACGTAATCACTTTGAGAAGTAGAAGCATTTTTAAATTCGGTAAAGGAACTTGTAAAATACTATGTAGGAATCATTGTAAAGTGAAGAATATTTTGTAATGTGTATATTTGGTCAAAACTTTCTTTTTGTACTTGTGAGGTTTACTTATACTATCACATAATAATTTTATATATCAGCTTTTTATATTCAGAAATTTTTATATATTACACATATATGCTTGAGACATAACTATAAATATTCATATGCTTATACGTTTGCACCTTATTTTAACAGGGATTTCATAATTGATTTTTGTTTTAAGATTTAAAAGAGCAGATTTTATAGGAAAGAGCCAAATGAGTCCAGTAGAAAAAAGCTTTCTGTGCCTAACTTTTGTGGTATTTTTAAAGACTTTTAGTTAATTGCTTTTATGAATGGAGTGGTATTTATGAAGGAAAAATGTAGTCATTTGTATGTATTTTAAAAAATGGATTCTCCTAATATTGTTTTAGTCAATTTTTTTTTTTTTTGCTGTGGTTACCAAAAGACCTGACAAGAACAATGTAGAGAAGGAAAAGTTCATTTTGGGGCTCATGGTTTTGGAGGTCTCAGTCCATAGTTGGCCAACTCCATTACTTGGGGCTGAGGTGAGGTGGAACATTATGGTGGAAACATTGTGCAGAGGAAAGCAGCTGGGAACAGGACACCAGGAAGGAGTGGGGTAGAGAGAAGGGAGGGAGACGAAGCAGAAGAGGGAGAATTCTGCTCAATAAGGGCAAAATATCCCAAAGGCATGACCCAGGGATCTGAGTCCTTCAGCCACACCCTACCTGTCTATAATTACCACCCAGTTAATCCCTATCAGGGGATTAATGCACTGACTAGGTTATTAAATCTAAACTTTCTTGAATTATCTCACCCATGATCTTTTGGGGGCACCTGATATCTAAACCATAACACTAACCATTAAACTTCAAAGTTAAAGCATGATAAGCAAGATTGGGAACGCTATTTAAAAACTGCAGATCCTCTCCATGTAATTAAGAAAATTTTTTTTCTATTTAATTAGGAAAATAGCCATTTTCTTCTGACAGAAAATTTGACAGTGAACTGGCTATAGTCAATAAACTAGCTCTTTGTCAGCAATTGAAACATTTTGCTCTTAGAATATTCCTCTGTCCTCTAACATTCAGGCAGAGGTAGGTCCTTCTCTGTGTCTTGTAATCTATACAGGCTTCTCCAGCACCCTCCTTAGATTGTATCTATCCGAGTTTGTTGACTCTCATTTGATTATGAACTTTTTGGGCTGCAAAATTGGTTTGTACCAATCTCCATATCCTGGATGCCTAGGGTGTTGTCATGTGTCATATAGGAATAATACATTTTGTCAAAAAAGTTGAATAATGCTGATTCACATATTCATTCAATAATCTAGTATATTGAATACAGAAGATAAAGCAGGCACTATTCTAGATCCTGGGAATATTGCATTGATGACAGGACCAATGCAACTCTTGCTTTTACTAGTCTTATGATACAGAAGACAGACTTTAATACTAATTGCTCATTACATGGATATGAGGTGTTATGATCAGAAGCATAGAATCCTGCTGTACCACATGCCTTAATAATGGGAGTCTAAGGCTTTGCAGACAAAGTGATTTTTAAGTTGGGCCCAGAAGTATGAGCTAAAACCAACTAAAAAGGCTTAGAAGTACTTAGATGGGAACAAGGGGTGGTAAGTGGGGACAAATCCAATAATAGGAAGTTAACTCACAGCCTCTATGTTAATGACTTCAGGAAGTGACTTTTCTCCTTCCAGCGGTGTTACCTGACTGGCTTTACATTAACAAAGACTAAAATAGTTGTTCAAATGATCTTTTTCTGAGTATGGTTCTTCAGCCCAGTTGTTCAATATCCTAACATTTGTTTGAGTCAAAAATACATAATTCTTTTTTGATATATATTTAGTTTTGGTATGTGAAATCAAAAACAGTATTCTACAAAAGACCATTATAACTCTCCAATTCAGAGTCACAGTAGGAACAGATAATCTTTTTATTTTTTATTTTTATTTTTTTTGTGTGTAAATACATCTGCTCTCTAAATTTTGGAGGTCAGTTTAATTTTTCAGTCTCCTAGCAGCAGTTACGACTTGCAGAGAAGCATACAAAAATCATCCATTTATTGTTCTTAAAAATTTACCATCTTTACTCAAAATTTCCTGAGAAATAATGGTTACTCTTTGTTGAATGCATTCTCTGCTACAGATATAGTGCTAAATATAAAATATGAATTATCTAAATATCCCAGAAACACTGTGAGACCAGTAATATTTTGTATCTTTTCCATGTAGATAAGGACACTGAAAATATTTAAGTGTCCAAGTTCCTAGAACAAGAAGTGATGGAAAAGAATGTGATTTCAGAAGAATGTGATTTCAGAATCTGAGTTCCTAACATGGAGTTGCTTACGAGAGCTAAATGAAAGACTGTAACATGTTGAGGCAGTACCAGTCTCTTCACAGGTTTTGTCTGTGATTAGAAACAATATTTTTTTTCTTAACAACAATTTATTCCATTTGTTATGTTGAAGTTCATAAATGAAAACTAAAATATTCATATTTTTGTATGTCAATAAATCATTTAAAATCATTATGACACTAATCAAGTGTTTGTTAAGTGCCAAGTGCTCTTATTTATTCCTCATAAAATTGTAGATATTTGTTGTTATTATTACTCCATTTACGAAAAAGGAAAATGAGTCATAAAAAAGTTAAGTGACTTGTCCAAGGACAGAGGCATTGAAACAGTCTGACTTGAATCCACACTGTTCATTGATGGATTATATTACTGCCCAATCACCTATATTCCAGTGTGAAAAGAAAATAAACTAGTAAGTGAAAATAAAAAGTTGTAGAAAATTTCTACAGTATGCAACCACTTGTGCAAATGTTTTATATCTCTATTATATTTTCCATTTATAATATGTAAAATAAATGTTTTCTTATGATATCAAATCTCTTTATGGAAAACAAATCAATATAAATTTTCATAAAACATACATAAATAAAATATTCACACATTTATGTATAAAGCATATACATATATGCTTATATATACACATATATGTAAGCTATATGTTCATGGAAATATTTCTAGATAAAGGGATGAATGAATGGTTGATGTTTTTAGGAATTAGCATGGAGAATTTTAGAATTTTACTTTATACTCTTTATATGGTATATTATGTAAAAGAAATGGGCACATATTACTTTTATAATAAAAATAAGTTTAAAAATTAAAAAAATAGACATGGAAATTCCCTATGAATTATATTTCTTGATTAGGGAAAAGGAAACTTTTTCATCTTAGACCCTTCTGAACTGTGAACTCTTAAAAACAAATGAATGCACATTATATTTATAATAAAAAAATTTAATCTAAAAGACCTTAAAAGTAGTAGACATGGCATTTCTCTGACAATTATGTACTGTGAAGTATTACATCTGTGACTAAATTTAGAATACAATTGACTATATTGGTATAGAATAAATCAGCCTATGTTAAACTTTTATTAGAGAGCTGCTTTCATTTTAAAGGCTAGTTCTTTTCTAATATCCATTGAGTTAAAAAGTAACTTGATGAAGATTTAAGTTATTTTTATAGACAGAAGTGTTTATGTTTGAAGTCTTGTAATGAAATCTTTCACAGCAATTAAAATTCAGCAAATGCAGAAGTTGATAGCAACTTTTACTGGATGTTATCTACTCAACTGAGCATAATTTTCTTGCAGTAAGATGGGATCATGCTTCTTAAATTTCAGAGCATTTATCAAAAACAAATGTCAGTTTGAACCTTAGTTTGTTTATTAAGAGAAAATGTCCTAGCATCAACTGATAGTATTTTAATATTATGCTTAGTCATGGAATGTACTTGCAATTAGTTTGGCTGATAAATGCTGAAATAGATATAAAATTTAAGTGTAACTTATTTTGGGCTGTGTTTTTCAGGTGAAGCTCTGAAGGTATCAGCTGAGAGATTTACAGATGACCCCTGTTATCTCCCGAAAAGGGAGGCTGTGGTTCAAGCTGCTCGTGCCTTGTTGGCTGCAGTTACCAGACTCCTTATCCTTGCGGACATGATTGATGTCATGTGTCTCTTGCAGCATGTGTCATCTGTAAGTAAAAGACGGCTTAGTTTGCTTTGGCATTGTTCTCACTTCTAATTCCATTCCCTGAAGCTGGCATTAATCCAGGTGCATCGTTTCCTCACCTTCATTCTTAATTTCACTCATCAGAAACTGACTGACTTGGGCTGTGAAGGCTAATGTATACCTCAAAAGAATAAAGCCAGAAGCTAGTACTAAAGACAGTGGGAAATTGAAGAATAGAGCATGACTTGCTTATAAAGAAATGGTTAAGAGAAAGTTCTAGACTTTTGGCCACTTATATTATCATGCCCCATATAAATATGAATAAATGATAACAAAAGAAATAATATATAATAAATGGAGAAGTATAAATAATTTGAGTGAGATAAATCTTTATTCTTAAGATGTTTGAAAGTTTATTTTAGTTTGTAATTGAATTCTACTTTGGAAGCTCTTCTTGATCAAGGATAATTAGTGCTTATTTACAGTAGTTTGTGGTGTCTGAAGTAATCCATTATGAAAATGTATAAATGAAGATGAGTAAAAATACATTTTAACTAGGAGAAAAGCAAGATATTCTGCTTGTTTTATTTTGTCAGATAATTTCAACAGCATGGTTTCAGTAGGAAGAAAACTTTTAGTATCTTAATTTATTTAGTTTATGATACTGTCCAGAAGAAAAGTTTGCAAAGAATTTTCTCCCATACTTGCTGGCGCCTTGTCAGAACCTGTATTTGGTATAGATCATTTAAGGAACTTATAAGTATGTATAGCACAAAATGATACCTCTTCTGTGAAAAGTGAAGTGGCATCTTTCAAAGAGAAAGGGAGGCAATTTGTGTTAAATTTTAAGTCACTCATATAATTATTGCATCCCTGTGGAACGCTAATACATGAATTGCTATCAACTCACTTCTTTTAAGGTATTGTGTAGAATTAAGATGCTATTTTTTTGGGTGGGGTGTATTGGGGATTGAACCTAGAGGCACTTTATCACTGAGCCATATCCCAAACTCATTTTATTATTTTTAAATTTTGAGATGGGTTTTCACTATATATATTATATGTTGAGGCTGTCCTCCAACTTGTGATCCTCCTGCCTCAGCCTCCCGAGTCACTGGATTATAGGCATGCACCACCAGTGTTTGGCTAAAATACCTATTTTTGTTTTTTGAGATGATTAAGATTAGATTATTTAGCCTAACATTTCCTGAAAAGTATTCTTTAGCACCGATCTTGTAAATATGGAGCATGAATAAGATATTTGTTTTTTATGGTCAGAATCACACACAGAAATTTGCTCTGAAAGTTTTCAATGCACATAAGCATATTAAAGTTGCTGAGAAATACTGCCACAGCAAATAAAGTTGTTTGTCTTTGCTTAAACCAGAATTTATTCATTTTTCTCAGCGGCAGAATTGGACTGAGTTACTAATTCAACATTACAAGAAACAGAAAATGTATTTTTCAAATAATTTTCACTCTTAGGATTTGTCTATGTCTTCCTTATCTAAGTTAAAAATTCATTGATCCTTGGATGTGCCTTGTATGACAATTTTAGATGACTTTGAACACTCTAGAACTTTTATATATTTTTAAAAATTGGTTATGTCACAGGTATAATTTTTAGTTTCTTTTCAAAATTTTGAATCTTTATTTTGATTTATTTTTGAACATGATAAACAGATTCTCTTATACTTAAAGTATGAAAGATCCAGTGTCCAGACTTTCTGGTGTCTGTTTCTGCTATGGTCTTCTTGATGTTTGCTCATGGTTTTGGCTCATGTTGTCTTATCTTTTCATGTGAATTGCTATATTTGATTGTGTGCTGAGCATTTCATTTTTTGCACTCATGAAATTTCTATCTTATTAACTCTGATGTTGTTAAGATGAAGTATTTTATTTTTCATCAAACCTTATTCATTTTCCTCAGCATTAGAATTGGACTTAATTACTACTTTGCCATTATAAGAATAGACATTTTCCAAATCACTTCTGGAAATGTTTTTCTATGCATGTTCTAGATTGTAAGTAACTCACATAAAATGTAGAAATCAAAACATTTTGAAATCTAAACAAACTGTTTGATGTGAATATTCCAAAATATATTCAGATAATTTCCTCCCTGTTTAATGTCTAACATTATCTTAAGTATCACAGTAGCCTTGTCATGCTGTTGGTTCATGTTGATTTTGAGAGTTATAATACTGCTAAGTCTGAACTTAAACTACTCTTAATTCAGGTCTTTCTCATATTATACTACTTTATCTTTTTTTTTTAATATGAAAAGGTAGATGTCACAGTTACATTTATTGAATTTGAGCCTTTTTTCTTTGTGTGGTGGTGGTGGGGATTGAACCCAGGGCCTTATGCATGCAATGCAAGAGTTCTGCCAACTGACTTTGTCCATTTTGAATTTTTGTTACAGTTCCTCAGGATCTTTTTAGCTCTTGATTTTGTCATCTCCTCTTAGCCTGGTGTCAACATCAAATTTCTTTAACCAAGTATTTCATAAAAAATATTTAATGACATGGACAACAGTGCCATATCTATCTTTGTGTTAACACCAATCAAATATTAATATACTTTGAGTAAAGTTATTGAAATGAGCTTTTTGCTCCCTTTATTGGGCTATTGTATAAACTATGTTTCTTTTTTTCAGCTTCAAGCTCTTTCCCAAAAGCCTTTTTGAAATCAAGATATATTGTCTGTGGCATCATGGATTTATCAGTTTAGTAATCCTAGTTATAAAGGAAATGAAGTTAGTTTGGCATGACTTTCTCTTAATAACCTAATAAGAGCTTTAAGTGACCATTACCAGCTTGCTTGTATTCCACCCTCCACCCCCGCCCCGGCCAAAAAAATCCTTAATGTTTCAGTTACTCACAATCTACTTACTTATGGTCAAAAAAAATCACTTGTCTGCTGGGATCTTTTTGCCTTTAAGATCTAGATATAATTGGTTTGTACCCTCATTCCATATTCTGTCAAATATAATGTCTTCTTCAAGATTTTTGTGAATTCTCTGGGAACTCATATATCCAGGGTCACCTCTGGCTCTAAGATTTTTTAAAAAAAATATTTATTTTTTGGTTGTAGTTGGACACAATACCTTTATTTCACTTATTTATTTTTATGTGGTGCTAAGGATTGAACCCAGGGTCTCAAATGTGTGAGTCTACCACTGAGCCACAACCCCAGCCCTGGCTCTAAGCTTTTGCTTCCACTGAAGTCATACTTTCATTTATGGGTTGACTTTCTATTCCTATTCTGCATTATATTCACCCAGAATTGGAAATTGACTTTTTCCCCCTTGATATCTCTCTCTCTGTCAATAATGATTGCCTATGAATACAGCAAACCATAGAGGAACTTGGGAAGATGGAAGTGAGGTGTTTCTGTGTTGTAACAATATATCATAAGTTCCACGTATGTTAAAATACACTCTACTTTCATTTATAAAGAGAACAATCCCCCCAAAAATATCCCAAATGGCTTCAATTTGGATGTTAGAAATTTTAGAAGTACTTTAGCAACTTTATCTCTTTGCTCTTCTGCCTTTTTTCTCCCCACCCACCGTTTGCTCTTCCACATCCCTAAAAACTCCTGTACATTTGAATGTGGTAAAGAGTTGCTATTTCTCTACCACCAAACTTGGCTTCTGCTAATTTGTGCATCTGAATAGTAGGGTATCATAAGACAGTGGGATATCTGTGTCCACTTCAGATTATGCCTTATGGCATTTTCCTCAGTATAGACAGTGCCCTACTTAAGAAACATTCTGTAGTTACCTATAAAACACACATGCACACAAATACATGCTTGTGCATGCACATGCACACACACACACCCTACCATATAATAATCTATTTCGGTGTGTTTGTGTGTTCGTGTGTGCGTACAGCACAATTCACAATAGCCAAGTAGTAGAAATAGCCTAAATGAATGAACAGGTAAAGAAAATGTGATATGTGTACACAATGGAATTTTACTCTGACATAAAGAAGAGTGAAATCATGTAACTTGCAGGAAAATGGATGGAACTTGAGAACACATATTGTTAAGTGAGATAAGCCAAACTTGGAAAGGCAAAGGTGGTAGAATTTCTCTCATATGTGGAAGCCTATGAGGAAAAGGGAAAACAACAAAAACAATAACAAGGACTTCACAAGATAGAAAGGAGACTAGTAGAGTAGAGGATGGGAATTAGGGGAGGGAGGAGAGAAGTGAAAGAGAAGGTACTGGGTATTGAAATTGACCATATTATGTTATGTGCATGTATGAATATATCACAATGAAATCCACTGTTTTGCATAATTATAATGTACCAAGTAAAAAATAAAAAGAAAGGCCAATGTGCTAAACTAAAATATTTGAGCTACAGTCTTAAAGCTAAGGGGGAAATCATTAAAGAATTTTTTTCCAGTACTGGGGATTGAAACCAGGTACATTCTATCACTGAGCCACATCTTTAGCACATTTAGAAGATCTTCTTTAAAACAGCTTTATTAAAGTATGATTTACATATCACAAAATTAACTAATTTTAAATGTACCATTCACTGATTTTGAGTGTATTTATAGAGTTGTATATCATAACCATAATCTAATTTCTATCATTTTCTGCTAATGGAGCTTGTTCCAATTTGTTGTCACTTCTGGTTTCCATACTCTACAGATTTGATATTAGGAAAAATATTGATAAATCATTTTTAACAGTTTAACTCTAAATGAAGGTATCTATTTCTCACAAGTGTCTAGCTTAGTACCCTTCATTGAGATGATGCTCAATAAACAATTATTGAGTGAATATTTTTTTCAGTCCTTATTCACTACTGAAAGATCTCATGAATTTAATGACAGTGGCCTCTTTTAAACTTTTAAATTGGAATTTTTAAATTGATAAAATAGCCATAAAACTAGATTGTAAATTCTAAATCTTTTGTTTTCCTGTTTCACACATGTCTAGTATGTTGTCCATTGGTAAATATTCTTCAACTGATTTCACAACCTTGTAAGTAGATAGAT